CTGTCCTGATCGCTGGTCACTGACGACGCAGGACTGTCCGTGACCCCACTGTCCTGATCGCTGGTCACTGACCCTGCTGTCCCTGTGGGACTGTCCTTCAGGATGTGAAGTGTCACACTGACTCGCACTCCGACACGAGACCCGCAGGGCTCCTTCAGGACTGAGAGGGACTCTTCCCGATTCCCAGAGTTTATCCACACAGTCCCAGCAGGGCCCGGGAGATCTCGACACGACCACGCAAGACGAGGACTCTGGTTTCTATAAATCATTTTATTAAAAAAAAACTGCAGTGACAAACCCTGTGGGACACACATCAGTTAATTACAGGTGTGAATTACAGGACGCACGCTGACGAGCTGCACCAGTCCAAATGCGTCACCTGCTTCACTGCAGGAACAGAATAAAAATGAGCCCCAGCCAAGGGGCAGACACTCACAAGCACAAAAAAATGGCAGTCAAAAAGGTCCTGCCTGCAAATCTATTTCTTCTCGGCGAGCTCAGTGAAGAGCTCTCTCTATAACACCTAGGGGTCAGCAGTCCAGCTACACAATATTAAACCCTGGAGGATTGTTGTCCATCGGCCTATGGGGGGGCTGTGTTGTTACACAGCCCCATGAACTCTGAAGTCATGTGTCCTTACTCTGCTCTGTATAGGTTTCTTTTGCTGCAATGCATTGTGGGAATTGTAGTCCCACACTGCCGCAGTGGACTATGGGAGTTTTGGTCACATGCCCCCTCAGTGCAGTGTGGGGGCTGTAGTCCATCAGGGCTTGCCCTCCCCCTCTCTCTTGACTTTCAGGAACTCGGCCATGTTGGAGAAGTACTTCTGATTGGCCTCAGCCACCTTCTTCTCGGCGGCCTGCGGGTTCACGATCTCCAGCCCCTGCAGTGGGGTGAAGGCCACGCTCGAGCTGGTCCCCGACGAGCGATCCCGGACTGTCGAGCGGCCCCCGTACACCATGCTCTGCTTCTGCAGGGTCCGCTGGGGACAGAGAGGACAGGGTCAACACCGGTCAATGAGCGGCCAACTGGACACTGACAGCACAGTGACACCGACTGACTGGCTGGACACTGACAGCACAGTGACACCGACTGACTGGCTGGACACTGACAGCACAGTGACACCGACTGACTGGCTGGCTGGACACTACAGCACAGTGACCAGGTTACCTGCAGGGACTTGGAGATTCGGGCCTTGGTGGCCTCGTTGACCTGTGCTTGTCGCACTCGGCCGCTGCCAGATTTTCCCAGCTGTCCCAGGCTGAAGCCCAGGTCCTCCTGGTAGGCATCGTCCTCGATCTAGAGGAGGAAGAGACAAGGGTTCACACAGAGACACCAACACCCCCACCCGAGAGCTACACAGACCCCAGAGACACTCCTCACACACAGAGATCAATACAGACCCTAATACAGACCCCAGAGACACTCCTCACACACAGAGATTAATACAGACCCTCGTACAGACCCCAGAGACACTCCTCACACATAGAGATTAATACAGACCTCGGCAAAAGTCATGCGATTGGCGTGTTTCCTGATCTCCGTCAGCCCCAGCCGCTCCTTCATCTTGCGGTACCTGTGAGAGAGGGAGCGAGAGGTTGAAGCAGACGCGATGCTGCTGGGAGACAGGGGGAGCTGGCGAGACGCACCTCCGCCCTCCTCTCTTCTTCCTCTGGCCGTCCAGGGGAGCCGGCAGCGGCTTCACCTGCTTCACGGGCGGTGGCTCCTGCCACTTGTCGAACTTCCTCTCGATCTCCTCTTTCAGGTCGTACCCCACCTGTCAGAGCCGAGGTAGAGGGGTCAGGGATCAGGGGGTCAGGGGTCGGGGGAGGCGGCTGGGGCAGAGGGGCTGACCTTGCCGTCGGAGCTCTCGTGAAAGCTGTCCACTCGGGACGCCAGGGTGCACTTGGCCGACACCAGCCGGGCTGCCTTCCGGCGCAGGTCCTGGACAAACATACCCCGTCAGCAGACGCACATGATCTACAGCTTCCTCACACTACCTCAGGGACAGACAGACTGATCGAGAGTCGGAGAGGCACGGGACAGACAGACTGATCGAGAGCCAGAGAGGGAGACGGGGGACAGAGAAAAGGGACAGACAGGGAGACGCAGGACAGAGATGAGGGACAGAGAGACAAACGCTGGCGGACACACCGGGGGCAGCGACTGCACGATGTCGCTGTGGTAGATGTAGCCGGTGTGGGGCAGCAGGGAGGTGCTGCTGAAGCCCGACAGGGAGCGGCGCTGAGCTCCCAGCAGCATCAGGTTACAGGCCGGCATCTTGGACAGGTTCGTCAGGCCCCCGGCTATGCCTGAGACAGAGGGACAGAGACGGCTCCGTCACAGCCCTGCTGTCCCCATGAGCCCACAGCACCGAGAAGGACGGGGGAGCCACGCGGTCTCACCCATGATCTTAGCGGCCGTCGACGCCCCCACGATGATGGACAGGTTGGGGGCGATGAAGGACATCCTGGACTCCACGTACTCGTAGATGCTGTGTTTCGATTGGTTGAGCTCCAGGGCCATGTCGCATGCCTCCTCCAATCGCAGCAGCTCCTCGTCGCCTAGCAACACCCTGCGCAAAACCAAGACGCACAGGAGTCCGTATGACTCCACACGGGGATACAGCACTTCAACAGGATCATCTGTGAGTCAGTCAGTCAGTCAGCCAGCGGTCAGCGTGCAACCATGCTGCTCAGTCTCACCCCTGCGTTGTGGAGGCCGTCACACTGACCACCATGATAGTTGCGTTGGTCAGGATCTGCTGCAGCGTCTCGTTGTTTTTACACTTGTCCAGATTGTTCCCCAGCTCCTGAGACCAAGACAGGTACACGCACAGACCAGGATCACACTCAGTGATTACACTCATAAAAGCCCTACACACATAGGTCTGTAAAAACAACCTCCATGAACAGAAATTCTTTCCCAACTTCACAAATCTAATCCCAGAATTCCCACACCTACCAGAAACACAAAAACTCCCAATCCTACTGGGAGGGGCAGGAGAGAACTCAGTTGAACTGGCAGCCCAGTGTGTGAGCTCCTGTCCCAGCCTGAGGAACAGACAGTGAGCCTGTCTCAATAATAATACAGTGTGTGA